GTCACGCTATACTTCTCGTTGCCTTAAATTCTAATTTAGTTAAAATTTGATATCAACAAATAATTTATTTTCCTAACAATGGTTTTTGCATTCTCGATTCTCTCTCTCTCTCTCTCTTTTCATTTTTTAATTGTTATATAACACACGTAACCAATTATATTATAACGTTTTTGAGAAAATTACTTTCTTAGTATTTTTTGTATAAACAATTCTTTTTTTTACTGTCAGGCCATCTGAGTTAATTTACGTGCATTTCAACTAATCTTTTATTCAATCCAATTAAAAACAAACCATTCACGCTAAGAATATAATATTCATGCGGAATAAATTTCTCATAGTCTCAATAAAAAAAATTGTCTCATATCTATTATCACTTGAACTAATTTAGAATTTTTACATAAAATTCGTAATATGGTATTTGTTGCACATTTCCTAAGAGGGACCTCAGTTCAATAAACAGAGAGAGAGGCCTCGCCTCCACTATGAAGTGGTACTCTCGAGCAGTCATGGTAACATGCCAGAGTAGAGTACAATTTTCTTTGTGAAAACTCAGGTAGGCCCAGTACCAGATGACTAAGGACCATAGTAAAACAGAATCCTGGTGTAAATTTTAGTCTATCGGATATTTTAGGCCATTTTCTAAGAATGGTTAGGCAGCTGTGGCTATTCTTGTTAGGAATTCTATACTTAATTAGAGGCCGGATCTTTATGGGATACATCACAAATTTGAGTTTGAGAATTGAACACTTCAATAACGGCAATAAACATGTCATTTACTTATCACGTTTAAGATTCTACAATAGACGGAAATCTTCGTGTATTGATTACAATTTTTTTTGTACTTGTTAGCAATGAAATCTATAAACCGCCACCCATGATAACAAAAGATTGCACGTTTCTATTTGTTTTTGGTTAGGATGCCTAATGTCACCAAGGCATAAGGACAAAGGGCGTTTCAAAATAGCACATGGGCCTCATAAAGCCAAAATGGACCAGCTTTACTTGCATAAATGGAGGGCCACCCCCCACTTCCACTTCATTGCTTAAAAGAACCATGTTTTATAAATGTTGAAGCCACCAGTGTGGGGCTATGACCCGAACTGTCATTTATAACATAATATAATTAAAATCTTGAGTATAACATAATTTAATATAATATAATTAAAAGTTTGTCTCCCTTATAAATTCAACACAATATCATGCATCACAATATAATCCAACATGAAAAAATATAAAAATTCAAAAATTTATATTTTTACAAACCAAAACCATGAAAAAAATCAAAAATTAAAATAATTTTTTTTAAAAAAATCATTCAATAATATATAGATTTGTATTCAGAACAAATATATATATATATAAAATAATAATAATAATAATAACAACCGGTAAAGCAGGGCGGGGAGAACGGAGTGCGAGGGTAAGTGTCGATTCATCCCCGCCTTCATTTCTGTACGAGTTTATGCAAGTATCTCCGTATACGTCTATCGTCCAATATATATGGTTCATCTCCAATTCAAATAAAACGAATTTAGACAAATCCTCATTTTTGTACGACCCATTGTCATTCCTACGTGATACTTTGCTATCAACATAATTCATCACTTTGTAGAAAAGGGTCATGGGCCAGGCTTTGAAGAACCGAAGTTTTGTTGGGAAATGGGAACACAGTTCTTCACAAAAATACAATTAAAGCCCACCATCCAAAATATGGTTTCTTAATGAGTAAAATGAGTTAAAAGTTTTTTTTCTTCCTTACAGGCTCGCATCGATTATTACTTTGAATTGAGTATTTGATCACCGTAATTTAAACTAAATTAGAACATATTTCTTTAAAGATAAAAATAACTAATCTTTAAGAAGATGTGAAAAATAAGTACAAGTAAGTAATACCGGTTTTTATTTTTTATTTTTTCGGTCAAGGTCAACTATATGTACTATTCAGAAGAGTTGACATTAAATGTGCTCAGATTGAGTTTTTTCTTTAATAAAAAAAATTGTGGGGTTTCATTATTGCAAAATATGGTAAAAAAACATAGCACACAAGAATATAATTTTATTGTTTGATAAAATTAAAAATTAAATACTGAACTTTAAGTAATGAATAGTAAATTTTTCATATGAAAATTGATTGGTATGTACTAAATTATAAACACTGAGTTGATTCAAACTATTCAACCAACATAATGATGAAGTTAATAACATTATTAATGTTAGTTTTCCACATGCATAAAATATATAGAATCAACCTCATATGGTACAATGTAATCATTACTTTTCAATAAGATAAATAAAATTAATTTAAACTAGTGCAGAGAGAGAACAAATATCTGAAATACATATTCTAAATAGTTTTAAACTTTTTATGTAGTGTTTTATTATATTATAATTTGTCTATTAACTAGGACATTAATTTCACTTTAATAATTAATGCAAAATATCAATTTTAATAGTTAATGGTACAATATGGTCAAACAAAAAATCTAGAGCATAAAATAAAAACATTATAATTTAAGGTATAAAATATAATTTTAAGAATCTTAAGTGACATATAGAATGTAATCAAAAATATAATTTTAAGGGTATAATATATAATTTTCAAAAATTGAGGGGGTCATGGCCCCCTTGGACCATAACATTGCTCCACCGCCACCCCACCATCGATAATGCTGGTGAAGTGGTGGTTAAGTATGTAGTGATGATGGTTGTTGTGATAGAGTGTTGGAGGATGGCGAACAGTGGGGACAATGAGATGGATGGAGATGGTGGTGGCAATAGACGGAGATAGTTATGGTGGTGGAGCGGTAGATATGAACTTAATGGTGTGGCAGTGAGGTTGGGGGCAACGTGGGTGGAGGTGGTGTCAACACCACCTCGTTTAGTGTTGGTGGAGTGATGGTTAAGTGGTGGTAATAGGGTAGCGAGGGACGGCGAACGATTGAGACAATACGATAGATGAAGGCGGAGGTGGCAATAGTAAAAGGAGTCAGAGTGGTGGTGGTGCGGTGGTAGACATGGAAATGGTGATGGCAGTGGCGGTATGAATGACAGAGATGGTTGTGTTGGAAGTGGTAGTGATGATAGGTTGAGGTGGTGGTGACAATGATTGTGATTAAAGAATTGATGACAGTTACAACGACTACGATGATTGTAGTGGTGGTGGTGGTGGCAGGGTGGTGACAACAACATTAAAGATGGTCCTAGCGGTGGTGGTCCAATGGTTGTGATATGAAGATGGTTGGTGGGTGGTGAAAAAATCGGAGTGAGATGGATTAAAATCAAAATATTTGATAGCAAATTAGTCTATCATTAAAAATTCATAAAATCCTTATTCACAAGAAATTCAGCATTGAGTGATAAGTAAGTAGTCAATTACTTAAAAATTTATTTTATTTTTAAGAGGTGTTGAAATTTTTAGGTGATAGACATTTTGCTTATCAAACGCACTTAATTGAAAATTTGTGACATGTCATAAGTTTAAGCGTTGAATTGATTTTATTAAACACCTCACATCCAAAGACACTATTTTTACACTTGAAAAAACATTACTCCCGAAATATAATATAGCATCATGACTATGTCTTTTAATTAACTACTTCCCTTGATCCGAATCGACCCTCAATTTTTCTTTCTTTCTTTCTTTCTTTTTTATTACAGAATGTCCAAAGTTGATCATTAATCTTCTATTTTGCCGGAAAATGCATCTAACTTTCACTCCCAGTCCATCCCCACGTGCAAATGGTGTTAAACTCTTCCTCTTCCCATATAGTGGACAAATGAAAAACCTATTTGACCCCCTCCCCTTTTTGACTCAGCAATCCACTTGAACAGTCGCCACACCGTCCATGACTCCCATATCACGAGACACAACCCGACAAAGATACCCATTTCCCACTCGTATATTCGTGTGATGTTATTACATTCATTATTATATATATACTAGTTATTATCTGTCCTGAGGGTACTATATAATAAATAAAAAAATTATAAATAATTATAAAAATTAATAAAAAAAATGATCCAAAAACATTCATACCAATTCAGAATTATTTTTTTTTATTGATCACTTGTTTTTTTTAGTACAATTGATATCAATTATTTTTTTTTATTGGTGATTAGCTTGAATGTTTTTTTTTTTTTAATTATTTTGAGAACTATATGTTTGCTTATAGTAGATTTTTTTTTCTTTTATATAAATAATAGTTTGAAAGGTNTGGACTACTATTGACCGGGTATCGTGGAGTGTGTAGACGTCTTCTTACTCCGTGCGGATTTGAACTTTTTCTACCACTCGTAGTGGGGTTAGTGCCTTGCGAGGACTAAACCATTATCGCTCATGGGGTATCGTGAAAAAAAGGGTTAGTAANTTTTTTTTTTTTTTTTGCACAATTGGTGTGACTTATTTATCTTATTGGTAATTAGATTGAGTTTTATTTTTAATTAACTTTTTCTATGAAAAATTCAACTAAATTTCAAAAGAATATGTAGAACCTATTAATTTTTTTTAATATTTAATATTTGCTTATTCTACGAAATCATACAAAAAAAAATATGTTGTCATTTGGGTTCTGATTGTAGTCTTGTTCTGTTAGTGATTACACAATTGATGGAATCAATTGTTAAACATGCAAATCTTGAGTAAATAAACCATTGAAAATAGCAATACATATTTAACACATAACATCTATATATAATAATAAATTCATATCAAAGCATGCACAACTAAATCAACACAAAAATTAATTAAAAAGAACTAATATTTAATGATAAGAGATAAGAGATAAGAAAGAGAATATGGAATAGTGTATTTAAAACATTTAAGATAAAAGAGAAAGGGAGTTAAATGGAAGATAGAAGTGCTAAAGTTAAGTTCAATTATAATCATCAGATCAGTATTTATGAGATGATCTGAATCGTCTTTTATGTTAAAATTATGTATGTTTATATTTTGTATCAAAACGTTGGAGACCTCTCCTTCTGTGCAAAATTCGATCCCAGTTCTAATTATATAAATAGATCCTCCTATGCGTAAATTCTCATAACTTGTCCTCTGTTTCTCTCCTAAGAGCAAGAACCCTTTTTTTTTGAAACAGTAAACAAGAACGTTTAACATTCTCATCAATGGCTACTGCTTCCTCAACCTCCGCTGCTCTCAGAACCATCTCTTCCTCATCAAAGCTACTACCATACGCCACCAACACTTCATCTTCACAAAAATTCTTACCCTTCAAGTTCTCTAACCCCTTGATCTCCCAGAACCTCAGGCTCACCACCACAACCGCCGCCGCCGCCAGAAGATCATTCACTTGCAAGAGCCAGAGCGGCCCATCGGATTCTAGACCCAGTAAGTATCTCTTCTCAACACTCCAAATTTCTGAAAAACCCACCAATTATGTATTGTCTTATCACCTTTTATCTGTGGTTTTTCAGCTAAAGTTCAAGAACTTTTTGTGTATGAGATCAACGAGCGGGACCGTGGAAGCCCAGCTTACCTTCGATTGAGCCAAAAAACTGTCAATTCTCTCGGCGATCTAGTTCCTTTCAGCAACAAAGTACGTCCTCGATCTCCTCTTATTCCATCGTCCTTCGATTTTGATGATATTTTTCCTTCGAAAATCTTTTCCCGAGAAAATTGAAATCAATTTGTTCATAAAGATTATCTTTCCGTCAAGATCCAGATAAAGGAAGGTTCCCACTGAAAAATTTTCCCGAGAAACAAACACCCACTATCTCTAACAATACCGTAGCGTCGGTCTCAATTTTGTGACGCTAATGTCTAGTGTTTTACAGCTCTACACCGGAGATCTCCAGAAACGTATCGGAATAACTGCCGGACTATGCGTACTGATCCAAAACAAACCGGAGAAGAAGGGTGACCGGTACGAGGCGATTTACAGCTTCTACTTCGGGGACTACGGCCACATAGCGGTTCAGGGGCCGTATTTGACCTACGAAGACTCGTACCTGGCCGTGACCGGTGGCTCCGGCATTTTTGAGGGTGTGTACGGTCAGGTGAAGCTACAGCAGCTTGTGTTCCCTTTCAAGTTGTTCTACACTTTTTACCTGAAGGGTATACCGGATCTGCCGGTTGAGTTACTGGGTGCCCCAGTTACGCCGTCGCCCACGGTGGAACCCTCGGCGGCGGCTAAAGCCGGTGAACCTGGGGCTATTATGGCGAATTTCACAGATTAAGATGGTACAATGTAATGGGCAACGTGGAGGGTGATGATTATGTCTAGTGTTGTGTAGGACCCAGTCAATGAATAAAAAGACCTTTGGGTTGGAGATTTTGTTCGAGTTGGGAATTAGTTGTCTTGTTAATTAAAAAAAAGAGTAAAAAAAAAATGTATTGCACTTGTTAAACCTATGAATCAAAAAAATTTCTCCTTTTCATACTAACCGACCTTCTTCTTCTTCTCTTCTCTTCTCTTCTCTTTCTATGCAACTAATCACTCGTTTTATTATCTGCAGTTACATCAAAAATAATAATAATAATAATTCCAAAAAATAAAACATAATTAAAAACGTGTAGTTAACTCAAGTGAGAATCTGCAAGGTGTATGAAGTGTTTGTCTTAAAGAGTTACGAAAGTCCAAGAGGCCCACAAACGTGATCCTCCTTTTATTTTTCAAGATCCAGCTATCTGTTTTGAGTTGATGTATTTAGGACCCAATTGCACTCAAATTTGATAGATTATCTTTAAGTAATTTTATTTGATGGTTGGACACTAATAAATAAAACCAATAAATATTTACTATATTATTGTCTTTTTAAGTTGATATGAGGACAATAAAGTTAATTAAAATTTTTGGGAAAATTTCAGTCATACATCTTCTACTTTATTATATCTTTAAGGACACCCCTGCTATTAAACTACTATTTTTAACAAAAAAAATTCATCTAAAATGCCCTTACATGAACTCCAAACAATTTTTCTGCATAAAAATCGATTAAAATTTGAGTCGAATAAAATTTATTTTTCTACATATTAAAATTCGAGTTGACTAAATTTATTTTTCTACGGATTAAAATTTAAGCCTATTAAAATTTGATTTGAGTTGATTAAATTTTTTTTATGTATTAAAATTCAAGCCTATTATATTTTTTTTAAGTATTAAAATTCGAACCGATTTGAACTCTATCTGAATTGTTAGCGTCAATTAAAATTCTCTTTGAGTTGATTAAAATTTATATTTTTTACTTATTAAAATTTGAGTCAATTAAAAATTAAATTTTTTTATGTATTAAAATTTGGGTCGATTAAAATTCAATGTGAGTTGATTAAAATTTAATTTGAGTCGATTAAAAATAATTTTTAATTGACTCAAATTTTAATACTTAAAAAAATATAATTTTTAATTGACTTGAATTTTAATATGTAAAAAATAAATTTTAATTAGATCGAATAGAATTTTAATTTCAATTGACCCAAATTTTAAAACGTAAAAAATTTAGAAAATAGAAGGAGTCTCATTGAAAATATACTAATCTAGAGGGAGTGTGGATGAAGTCTGTCCTTAAATATATCATTGACAATTTAGTAAAATTACATTGTAATTAATATTTTTAATCTGACTAGAGGTGTCAGTGAAAATTCAAAAAATTTAGAGGATGACCTTGAAGATATAGTAAACTAGAAGAGATGTGATTGAATTTTTTCCAAAATTTTTTTTACTTTATTTGCCTTTTAGTGTTAACTAATTGGTACTCATGTACGTTGTACTAGACCATTTTAAATTATAATTTTTTTTATATTTTTTTACTTTGTACCCATATTACCTTTATAGTTGTGGTTTATATACACATAGAAAATAAAAAAAGGCAAAATACAAAAAGAACACATTAGGCCGTTAATTTAAATACTTATTGATTGTTTATAATATTTATATTTTAAATATTTTGCTTCTATCATAGATGTAGGCAACACTTACTAGAATTTTTATCAAGAATATAGAGTTTTTCACCTCAAATTGCCTTTGAATTGGAAAAAGTTACAATCTTATAATAATGTTTGACAATTGAAGACTAAAAAATAGATTAAAACTCAATAAAAGTGAATAAAATTTTAATTAAAAAGTAAAATTTGAGTATAGTTTTTTCAGAAATTTACAGTCCAATCTCAAGCACCAAGACTATAACAAATCAAATTTCTAAATAAATATAGAAAAGAAGATAAATATTAAAAAAAATCAAATATAAACAGTGAACAAAACACATTACATTCTCTTAAAGTCATAGATTACACTTAGATTATATCATCAAATCAACAATTGATAGTAAGATAACATCAAATGAAGCTAACCACGGATACAAAAAAAAATTCATATGAACAACTAATAATTCTTGTATTTTGAGTTCATCATCTTGAATATTGTTTATAAGTGTTACTTCATTAGATCCATGATAACTTGCAAAGGAAAATAAAACATATAGACAAAAGTGAAGAGAATTATGGAAGTTACAGAGAAGAACCAAAATACCAGTAGTCTCTATTATTTAAAGAGGAATAATATTATGCTTACCAAATTATTTACTAAATTTTGTATTACAAATTATTGTGGTTGATTACATCAATAAGGTCTATTAACTTCATCTAAACATTTAATACATGAAATTTTGACACATTATTTGTGATACAATATTTAGTAAATAAATTTAAAAAACACAGTTTTACCTTTAAAGATTGAAGATTTCTTTACTGTTTGAAAAATGAGGGTTTGAAAGGAGAGCATTATTATTCTTATATTATTTTGTAATTTTCTATAATGTTATGAATATGAAAGGTCTTCCTGTAGTAATACTATATATTCATTGCACGAAAATAAAACATAAAGATAAAAGTAGAGAGAGCTATGAAAGTTATAAATTATTAGTAATATAGAAATAGCTATAAGTATAAAAATTTGACTATGGTACTGAAACAATTTCGGTATCGTAACTCTAATTTTTATCTCTTTAATGGACATTTTTATAACTTTTGTGAGTTATTTCACAATCAAAAAATTTATCACTTTTAGATAATTTAGTACTTTTGTATGTGCTTTTATTAATTTGTGAGTATTTCTATTACATTTGTGATAACTATTTTTACTAGAGGTGTCAAACGTGTCAGGTTGAGTCATTTTGTGTCGGGTTGATTTCGAGTTTGTGTCAAAAATTTCAAAATTCAAACCTGACATGTTTAATAATCGTGTCGAGATGCGTAAACACTAACCTGACCTGATTATTAAATAGGTTACTTAAACCCCGACCTGTTTGACACGTTTAATAAACATGTTGTTTTTGGATTAACACACATTACATAATCTGTTTAACTTGTTTATTACACATAACATAGACCTAATTCTACATCAGTTTATTACCATTAAATACATCAAATATCATTCATCCAAAATTTTAAATAATTTTTTTTACAAATAACAAATAACATATCACATCTCATCAATAAAATTAATTAAAATACATTTAAGTTTCAACATAAAAATTAAATCAAGAACTATACTAGTATACTATCATAATAATGCTAAGAACTATACTGTCAATTATCATAATAGAAGAAAGAATTAATAAGTAATAATGTTAAGACTACATTAGTCATACGTAATAGGCAAATTATACTACCATAAATAGGTCTACAATGAGTTAGGTCGAGTTCGTGTCCGAATTATGTTAACCAGTTTAAAATATACGGATTAATCAGGCCAAAATCAGGTTGACTTGATTTTGACATGGACCCGACATGATTTTTCTCGTGTTTTAACGTGTTAACCCGTTTTAACCCATTAACTCCTTTAATTTCTTGTACCACCAATTAATTTTTGGTTCGGTTCGTGTCGTATTGAAAATTGATAGCCCAAATTTTTACTATTTTTATTTTGTACAAAAAAACTTATCATATTTATGTGTATTTTTATTACATTTATAGATGTTTTTAACACTACTGTGGTAGTTATTTTTTATCATTTTTTGAGGTACTAGGCCAATGATAAATTTTTTTACAAATGTAGTAAATAAGGATATGAATTTTTTTGATAGTGTAGTCAAACAGTTGATATAGATAGACAGATATAGATTAATCAGGTGGGAGTATCTTAATATATAATTAAACAAAAAGAAAAGATTTTTATATTATAGTTAAAACTAGTGCCACGTCATCTAAAAATTTGGCGGTTGGGAATGAACCAAGCCCTTTCCTCTCCTCTCCCAACTGCAGCCTCTTCTTCTGCTCCAACGGATATAGCGTGAGAGAGAGAGTGAAGCGATGCCGATGAAAGCAGCTGCGACGGCAGCATCATCAATCCGAGGAGGAACCGTCCTATGTTCGCACCATTTCGTTCTCTGCAACCACCGGAATTTTCTCTCTCTTAATCGAGTTTCATCCACAGCTGGACCCAACTCTCGCACACACCCTAGCATTTTCAGCAATCAAGAACCATTTTTTGCCAAATCCAACAACAGTATTAGGTTTAAATTCATCTCCAGAGCCGCCGATTCAACTCAGCCGTCTTCGGCCGCAACTGCCGACAAGTCTGTTGTCTCCGATGAGGAGTTTTCACTTGCTAAGGTACACTCGATCACTTAATTTTGTGTTTTCTTTTCTATTAAAAATAATTCTCTGGATATTAGTTCAAGATTGTAGAATTTGCTTAATTTTGAATGTTGTACATAGTTTTCTTGTGCAAATTGTTACCCTGTAGTTTAACATGTGAAAAATTAGAGAGAATCAATGTTTTGTACTTGAAGTGTTATCACATTATTTCATGTCCTACGGTTATGATGTCAGTATTGATAGAACTTCTCTTATCCAAATTCATAGTGCACTACCAAGCAAAAAAAAAAAAAAAGTTCATAGTGCATTTATATTTGTAGTGATTGAGTCTAAAATATTAAACGTAAAATGCATGAGGGTTGGGGATAAATTCTGCACACCTGGGATAGAACCAGAATTTTCATATTTTCGGAGGTATCTTGCTTTATTTGTGTATTACTTCACAACTATGACAGAGTAGGCCTCTCTGTTTAATGGGTTCATGCTGTTGCCCAATTTATGCAGGTTTCATTTGGTGTTATTGGACTAGGTGTTGGCGTTACACTACTTTCGTAAGTATGCTTTCCACTGATTAATCCTGATTGTGTTCTTAAGTATTATCAGTTTTCTAAATGGCCTATATGCACTCTATAGATATGGATTTGGTGCATACTTCAACATCCTCCCTGGATCTGAATGGTCTGCATTGATGCTAACATATGGATTTCCTCTTGCTATAATTGGCATGGCTCTCAAGGTAAACCACCTCCCCCCCTTTTTTTTTGCAAATGTTTGGAGTCATGGAATATTCGCAGCAAACATATTCATGGTCACGAGTAAAATTAGTACAATAAACTGCATTTGTTTTTCAATTGATGGTTGTTTATTTTCATCATTGACATGGTAAGCAAGAGAAAGGGAGGGGGGAGGGGGG